GTTGGTAAGACAAAGCAAAGAAAAATAATCTTTATATTTTTTTACCACTTATGCCTAGACTAATTAATATTACTATTCAGTTTAATTAAAGCATATCTAGTTCGTCTGGGGGACTCTATCGGTTAAGCCCGTAGAGATAGATGCTTTACATCTGCTCCTAATTAGTTTTTAGACAGATATAGTCTGCATGAAACTAACTACCATTTTGTCATTGTTATCATCTCAGGAAACTAGTTGTTGAGTTTTTAATATAAGGTGAAAACTGTGGAAAACCCTCGTTTTCGAAAAACAGGCTTTTGTTAGTTTTTAAAATCTTTCTACAAACAAATATTGTCACAAGACTCCGCATGATTTATTATCTATCATTCAGCGGTTTTTGAGGTTAAAAATGCCTCGCGCAGCATTAGTTCTAGGACTTGAAGAAAGTTCGATACGATACGAGTTATAGTGTTGTATAGTTTTCACTTGGTTGATGTGATTTATTTATTTAAGAATAAAGTTTAGGTTGTCTATAATCGATGATAATTAAGCGTTTCTCTGAGCTTAGCAGCATAGGATATCTGCACTCTACTTTATTGCATGTGTCAGACCATATATAGTAAATAAGCCTACTAAACTTAAAATAATAGTTGTTATGAAGCCGAATTTGAGATAAATCCAAAAAGTAAAACGATGATTGATTGTTGCCAATGATTTTTGTGCAACGATAAGATTTGCCACACTTCCTGAACGTAAACAAATATGTTTAAATGATAAATACTTCTTGTTGATATTTTACTTACCAAATAGAGTTAGATTTCCAGCTAATGTCGATACAAAAGCTAAATATAATATAAGATTTAAATGATCACCATCAGGTGGTACTTCATTGAGCACAAGAATTGTTAGAGGAACGTTTGAAAAAATATTTGATCCAATCAATATGAATATGTACAATAGAAGAGTTGACGATATTTGACGAAAATCAGTGTTTTCTAATTTTAATGCATTCCAAACAAGATGAGGTATGCCTGTAGAATTTAACCCATATAACCAAACAAAAATACCGAAAAACAGTAACAAAACATTCCAATCAATACGATGAAAAATTTTTTCAGGTGAACGATGATTTAGGATACAATCGACCACCATTAATATAATAGCCCCGCCAATTGGCACCAATCCTGAAATTGCATATCTATGTTGTGCAGTTGGATAATAGATGTTTTATTTTAAGGCCTGCATAATTCAAACTTCAAGTGTAATTGATTCCGAACTTATCGTACGTACACCATTCGATAGAGTGCTTTGAACTGATCACGAATATGTAGTGTTTAACCTCTCGATATAGGTTTCTCGTGTCAAAAAATCGAAAAAAGTTGAACGAGTGAAAAAGTGGAAAACATTTTCGAGTTTGAAAAAGTTTAATTTTTCTACTTGTGTTTCTGGTTGGGAAGTTCCAACTATTTTCTGCATTCAAAACTGGACCAGAAAATGGTACTCATATCTATTATCCATTAGTTCTTTTGGACGTACATGATACACGAATACTTACTTTCGAAATGGATCTGATACCATTTTCTGGTCCAGTTTTGAATGCAGAAAATAGTTGGAACTTCCCAACCAGAAACATAAGTAGAAAAATCAAACTTTTTCAAACTCGAAAATATTTTTCACTTTTTTACTCGTTCAAGTTTTTTCGATTTTTTGGCTCGAGAAACCTATATCGAGAGGTTAAACATTACATATTCGTGATCAGTTCGAAGCACTCTATCGAATGGTGTACGGTAAGTTCTGAATCAATTATACTTGAAGTTTGAATTACGCACGCCTTACCTATGTCGAATGAAACGCGATCGTTGGATGCAAATAATAGTGCAATAACAACTATAATCATGAAAACGAGGAGACATTTAAAAAATTTTGAATTTGATGGTTCGAATGAATCAGCATCACCCTTATGATCACTATCATGAAAGGAAAATGACGCTACGGAAACACTTCTACTGATCATAGTCGAGGTTGGTAATGATTGGGTGCGTTGTTGTTTACCGGCACTATTACCTATTTTCGGCGATAAAGTATACTCATCCCGATAAATCTCATGTTGAATATCAACTGGATCCAGAGATATCTCGTTATTTGTTGCATCAGACATTTTCCGTGCGCCATACATTTTTTGATCATCGGTTGAGTTTCTTCTTAAGCGAGTCGAGCAATAATAATGTAGTACTAGAAAACACAGATTCAATAACCAGCAAATAAATGCCGGTAACCATATATAGATTACGCATGTTTTTAAATCCAGACGACTACGTAGGAATGAAGTTGTTTTTGACGCTATCAACGCCATTTGTGGATTACCGAAGATTGTTAAAACACTTCCTAAGTAATAAAAAAAAGTATCACTGTAGACTTCTCTTATCACGAATATTTACGTGTATTAGACATCCAAGTTGTATAATAAATGATCTGTTTCAAAACAGTTTATGTTTCACCCGTCGAAAGATTGAAAAATTCTAAAGAGATGCATTACAACTGAACATATTTCACAAACTAAGTGAAAAGATGATTTTAACCTTGTTGTAAACAAGTACGTGGTAACCATAATGTTGAGAGAAAATTAAGATACTTTTAAATTTTAAAAGGTTTACATCTTGTAGAGCAAATTATTCTGTCCAAACTAGTATATTTTTCCGATTTTTGTAAGCTCATCTTCACTCTTTTAACAACGCTTTGCAAACACTCTCGAAATTCAACTTTTGAAAAGTAAAGAAAAGAGTTTTTTACGTGTCCAAGCCGTAACGTATGCATTACACTGTACTGAACAGACTACTGTTGACAGTTTTTCAGTAAACTAAATTTTTCGAAAAAAATGAAATACTTCAGATATACATAGTGGATCGAGTTTTTATAACTATAAAAAGCTTCGACATGGAATGTTAACTATGACAAATATGAGATGTACATAAGGAATGTACGAGCGTATGGGTATTAGGAATAACTGATGTAGGAGCAGCCTGCTAACCCAAGCAAAAATCACGTATGGAAAAGTCTAGATACATTTTCTCTGTAATCGGAGAATGCATGACTGGTTGGCACTGTTTGTTTTCAGAGTAAAGTTCAAGCATCCTGTGAGAACCTATTTTAGGTTAAATAACCGATGTTGGGCCATTTGCCGGTAAAACCAAAAATTCATAATTCGTTCAAAATCGCTTCAAACTACTTCTGAATATCAACATGTGCTCGCTTTTATCCGGACAATATCATGCAACTTAAGAAAAGGTTTAAAAATTATTAGAAACATCTTGGTTTTTCGGGAAGCGCGCAAGAAATCTTCTGAAGTACGTCCAGTAGAGAACAAGGTAGGGTAGTGAAAAGAGAGTACATGTTTGTATTTTGAGGTAGTCTGAAGCGTTTTTGAACGAATTATGAATTTTTGGTTTTACCGGCAAATGGCCCAACATAAGTTATTTAACGTAAAATAGGTTCTCACAGGTTTCTTGAACTTTACTCTGAAAACAACAGTGCCACGAGACAGCGTGGTCGATAACCTATGTTTCCACTTGTCTGAAAGGATGCCAGACGTATGTTAACAAATACGTACGCCTCAGAAAAACGCCGACCATCCGAGATCCATAAGAGATAGAGAGGTCGGCCTTGTGCAGAATCGTATAGTAGTCGTTGGGCTACATCATATGACTAAATTGAAATTGAAAACATACTTAATGAAAGGAATTAGTCAATGGTTTTTCAGAAAGCTCCCAGAAAATCTGTAAAGGATTTTAACTCTACGGTGAACAGATACCCCTATCCATCCTCTTTCTAACTCGATAGTTGTCAGCGTTGCCAGAGATGACCGGCATACGTAAGAGCTCTAAATCTGAAATTAACGGGGGACGTTTCTTCCCATTTTCTTTTAACTTTTAAAAGCTTACGGAAATTTAAGAGTTTTTTTCAGAAAGTTCACTATTCATTAAAGAAGCATGTTCTAATGATAAGACTGGCACCGATCGATCAACGAGATCGGACTGCCTATATGCTGAAATTATTGTGGACTTTGAATGAAGTTCGGTAACAAAACTTTTGTTTTTCTTGAAATGTCGATTTTTCCGTGTTTTCAGTGTGTTTTAAGAGCCTTGCCACTCATTGTGGCATAACGAAGCACAATGGAGAAAACATTTTGCTGCCAATAGTCTTCCTTAGGTTGCAAATGGGGTACTGAGTGTAATAATTTTTTCAGTGTAAGAGAAAAATTTTGAGAAAAATCAAGTTTAAGAATTTAAAACTATTAAAAAACCATAAATTCACTTTACATAGCAGTTTATTGATTTTTTTCCATATATAGATAGTCCAAAGTGCCATCTGCAAAACAAGATCCAAACAAAAGTCTCACTTTGCTTGGTTCGAAAGCGATTTGATCCTTTGAAAGATCCTTTGAAAGACCGGTTTCTCAAACTCGTTCAAAAAACCTTTATCTCTATGAAAATATAGACTAGGTTGTCCTCTTTCGACTGCTGAAAATCGCAGATCTCAATCTTTTACCGCCTTTGAGTTATTCAAAAAATAACAGCCTGCCTTATATTTTGGCGCCGACAATAATAACTCTCCTAGGAACCCGATACTCCGAAAAACCGGGTTACAATAACTTCTTATGGATAAATTTTTTGAAAAAGCAAAGACAAGGTTTTGTAGCGCTTGGAAATCTCTGCCGAACGAACTATTACTTCATGGTTTCTAACAAATTGTTAATTTAAAAATAGAAGTGTAAGCTACCAGAGTAATGCTAATTAGCATTACTCGGCACTAATTAATTATAAACTAATATCTAAAAAACTTTCTTTTTCAATTTTTTTTGGAAACTATAACTATAGCTCATTGGCTACCAAACTACGCTAAAATGACATTTCCACGACTGTTTTTGACTGAACTGTGAGCTTTTTAAAAGTAGACCCAGCAATTAAATTCTTTGCTAAAATTTTATCTTAATTAATTTATAACTCCGTGAATACTTATGGGCTCTCAGAAAAAACTTCAGAATATATGTAGTCAAGTGTTCTCTACGATCTGAGAAGGTTAAAAAGTACCCTTTTTGGCCCCCTCCCCCCTCTTAAGCGATATGGTGCAATGGAGATGGAGTTGAACTTTTTTTAGAACTTATGAACTTCTAGAATTCGAAAAACCAGGTTCTGTAGAGAATCCGGTTCCCTAGGAAGCCATTTTCTGCTCGGTCTATGAACGAACAATAACCACGGACAGCCCTCTTTTTTACGCTTGAGAACATTAGCTGATCATTCATATTTCTTATAGTCCTCAAATTCGTCGGATTCCTCACACGAATAACAAAGAAATGAGAATATCATATAGGCAATATACACGCGTATCGTAATACAACAATATGAAAACAAGAATTATACGTGAAACTGTGCAGATGGATCTCAGAAATATAGAATATCTATGTTTGGACATCTTTCGAGAGGTTTTGCTAAAGCATCCGCTTACCAATATTTGCCATTGTTGCCAGACATAATAATAAAGTGTTCAATTCATGTATATCACGTTTTTGTTCTGTCCATTTAGTCAATATCAATGGTGTCAAAATAACGCATGCGACATCATTGGTAAATAATGCTGATAGACATGCATCAATTATCGACAATCGAAAAAGGCACCCAATAAAATGTAGACCAGGACGAAACAGAATATTTAATAAATAGTCAATTAATTTTTCCCGCTCAAAATATTGTGAAATCATCATCATACCCCATAGCAAGAAAATAGTTTTTAAATTATTTTTATCACCAATAATAGTATAAACCGTATCTTGTGATAAAACTGTGCATATAACCATAAGCATAGCACCGGTAAGAACAGCTCCAGTACTACCAATTGGAAATCTGTGGAAATGAAACAGGACAAATGGCAATACAAGAAAAAATGTTAAACAACCAAGTACTATTTGATATAGTTGAACAGTAATAACATTATTCGTTGTCGTGTAGTTAGAGTATAAAGTAGTATTTAAGGCCATTCTAAAATAATAAAAGTAATGCAATTTATAAAAGTAATGTAATTTATATACCAAAAGATAGAAAATTGAATTCTCCACAAAGCCTACTATCTGAATCTCTGAGAGCATTTTTCTTGTTTGAGCACCATTCAAAATATTGAAGGGTGCTGAGCTGTCGAACTGCGACGTGCTTTTGTCGTCTCGGTTTTTTAGATTTTTAGCCCATTCTTTGAGGTTCAATAGTTAATTTTTCTAGGTAGACAGATAGAGAATTTTTCGCTCTATCGATCTCACTCATTTACAACCTCATGCAATGTTTCCACTACGTCAGCTGGCCTCATAATTAGTTTTCAACCGGCTTTTCAATTTTTTCAAGTTAAATTAAGTTTTTTAATTAATGGTTTCAGTTGAGAAACTTTGTTTATGTATCAAAAGACACAGAATTTAATTCTATGTAAGATAATAAGACTCAAACCCTGGATTC